TAGAGTTTCATTAATTCCTCTCGGTTACATTACCCTTGATCATGCCCTACCAGGCCTCCTACACCCTCCTCACCACTGATTTGGATCACTTGTTCTTCCCTTGTCCCTGGGTTTGTTACCACCACTACCTTTCCCCTGACCTCCCCCTCTCCTATGTCCCCCGGGAACTGTCGGTCCCGTTGTTTTCTCCTCCAGATTGTTCATCCAGCCTATCTTATTTAGACAGAACTGCAGACATGATAACATGCACAAAAAAACGAGACAGAGCAACAACCAAGCAACAAAATAAAACAAAACAACAATACAACAAGCCAATGACAAAAAACAAAACAAAACACAACAAGAAAGAAAAGCTTGTAGTTCATTCAAGGACTGTTTGTTGGTCTTTAGGAGTGTTTTCTAGTCAAGTTTGTTGGGGTGTCAAGCCCTGCCACCAAAGTCTATTTTTGGTATTCCCTGGGGAGTTTGTTGCTCTGTTCCCCTTGCTGTTCTGTTCCACACCCTTAGTGTTTTGCCTCGGTGTGGTTGGAACAGATCGGGTGGAATTCCCACACTGTGTCTCCTGTGTTGTCCCCTTTAGGGCTATGGGTCAGCGAGGGATGTTGTGTCTCATAGTGGGGTCGGCCATATGGTCTTCTCTGTGGATTGGCTGCTCTTAGCGGCGATATCGTCCTCTTGGCTTGGTGGGTCAGGAAGTGCTCCACTCTTTTCCTCCCCCTTCATTTACTCCCATGTGCTCTGATCAGACAAGTCCCTCTCTCAGAGCTACAGATTCAGTGCTGTCCTCTGAAATAAATTCTTCTGGGGGGAGGGGCAGATGTCCACGCAGTTGGGATTGGGGCCAGCCCCGCAGATCTCTCCACTCCCTACAAAGCTTTCTTATATACATATGTCTACATATGTCTTTCTTATATACATACAATTTGTTTCTCTAGTCTACCCAGACTCACACAGGCAGCCATTCCAAAGACAGAATCCTGGGTCCTGTCCTACATCCTATCTACATGGATTCTAGAACTCTATACTTGAACAAGTGACTTACCTACTAAACACCTACTGCTGAGGTGTGGACTCCGATGGACTCTAGGAAGGAGAACTGCTCCCTGGGGTTTCCAAGGCTGTAAACGTTTATCAAATGAGCTCCCCCTGAGCTACTGATGGATTCCAGCCCCTGACATTTCCATCAGTAACCCAGCACACTGTGCCAGCAAGACTCCAAGAAGTGGTTTAAACAAAAATCAAACAAACAAATCCACTGCCGCCAGTGGGTTTCCTTGGCTGCCAATCTTTAGGGTAGCAGACAGCCTCATCAACCTCCTTTAGAGCAGCTGGTGGGTTAGAACCAACTACTCCATCCACCTCCAGGTAGGGGGTCCAAGGCCACCGAGGCTCTTTTAGGACCCCTAGTGGCGCACTCATAAGCGCTCAGCTGCTAACCAAAAGGTGTGCAGTTGGGACCCACACTTGTGGGGAAGAGAGGTATGCCTCAGAAACGGATGGGGCACTGCTGACTGGCCTACAGGGTCGTTGTAAGCCCAACGGCCTTGGTTTCCGCGGTCCTTGCGGAGTTCAGGAAACCACCCCAAAGACAGGTTTCTCGAACCCCAAGTCACTGTTGGCAGTGGTGGTGACCGACCACGCGGCAGGAAGCTCTCTATTACGGCATGCTGGTTTTTCGGAGCTCGGAGATATGTCCCTCTGCGTTTCTGTCTCCGCAGGAGACGTCGTGGGCCAGCGCCCCCCCTCACCCACCCACCCGGCGGGCTGCACCCGGGGTCCCTCCGGGGCCCTCACTTTCCGACGCTAGGACCTCCAGCTCGCTCCGGTTCCTGCCCGGGACCTCCTTGCTCCCTCCGCCCCTCCCTGGGAGGTGGGGGCGTGGCGTCAGTGGGGCCCCGCCCCTCGGCGCACGCAGGACGCGATCCCGGAAGCTGACAAATTCCAGCCCCGAAGCTGATTGGCTGATCCCGTCTGTGTACGCCCCGGGTTTCCCCGAGTTTTGTATTGAGCCTGGGGAGAGAACATGGCCCTGCCGAGTCAGTGCTTGCGGGAGCTGCGGGGACTTCTGTACCCGCTGAAGGACCCAGTGGAGGACGACAATGACTGTCTCCACGGGGGTGCGGAGGAGGATGAAGACCCGGTGTTTGTGGACGCCGAGGAGCTCTGCAGTGGGGGCATAAAGGCTGGCTGCCTCCCGGGGCCCCTTCGCGGTGAGCTTGCACGCTCGAGCCCAGGCCTGGGCTCCGGGGATGGGCTTGGTGATTCCCTTTCCAGGCTTGCCCCAGCCAGGCGCCCGCTGGTCCATTGCTAAGCCCTTGACCCTGCTTCGTCCTCACCCCAAACGAAACTCACTGACGTCGAGTCGATGCCGGCCCGATAGGACAGAGTAGAATTTTGCCTTTATGGGCCTCATAGACCAACGCTTTCAAAGCCCCATCTTTCTTCCGCGGAGCTGCTGATGGTTTCAAACTGCTGACCTTGCAGTTAGCCAGCGTCTAACCACTACATCACCAGGGCTACTTAGGATAAAATGGTATGATTAATAATAAGAATAATAACAATAGCTGTGACTATATTTGAGCATGTGCTATGTGTGAAGCTTGGGCTTCACCCTTATCGTATTTAATGTTCAGAAATCCTCTGAGGTAATTTTCCTGAGGAAGTGGTCGTGGGGAGGCTGTTAAAACTTGTGTAAGGTCGGGGAGCAGGTGGATTTTCTGTATTTACACTCAGAATCAGGACCTTGGCTTTAAACCTATCCTGCCTGAGTCAGTAGACTGTAGCTACTTGGAAGAGAGCACCAGGAGGAACTTAACTCAGTGGTTTTTAACTTTGTGTCGTTTTCTCTTCTATAAAATACAGGTAGTCACCGATTTAGGATGTGTGGATGGCACTGCGAACACCATATTTTGTGTTTTGTAGTATGCACTATATACAATGTGACAGTGAGTCCTTTGCTGATGTTATTACACTCACGCTAACTCCACAGACTAATGATTTTGAAATGATTTCTAATAATTTCTAATCAATAATACGATTTCTAAAGATACTGATCAGGAAGGGCAATCATAAAGAAAACTAAATAAGAAGAAAAGGTATTCACCTTAATCGAGAACCTATTGATGGCCGAGTAGTCAGTAGAACAGAGCCTGTTGTAAGTTGGGGACTACATGTTTGCTGTGACTAATATTTTACAGTCCAGACCAGTGCTGCCCATTGCTATCTGCTCTAAAGAGTACGGTAGCCACTAGCCACTTGTGGCTAATGGGAACTTTAATTGAAATGTGGCCAGTGTAATGGAGGTGCTGACATTTGAAAGAGGCAAGTTTTCAAGTTATTTGCGGAGGGTCATTCATTCACTCTCAAAAGTATCATTGACTGGGAACCCTGGTGGTGTATTGGTGTTTGGGGCTGTGATCCACATGGTTGGCCGTTTGAAACCACTAGCAGCTCTTCAGGAGAGATACTGGGCTTTCTACTCTGGTCAACAGTTACAGTCTCAGCAACCCACAGGGTTCGCTCTCAGTCGGCAGTGACTGGACAACAGTGCGTTACTATGTGTCCAAGGAGCCCCGGTAGCACAATGTTAAACACCAGCATTGCTAACTGAAAAGGCCGGTGCTATGACCCCACCAGCACGACCATGGGAAAATGACCTGGTGATCTGTTCAGCTCTGAGTTGAAATAGACCGAAGGGTGCACCACAGCACTTGTGTTTTCAAGCAAGTTGCTCGATGCGATAAAGTGATAGGTTTCTCTCTTAATGGAACTTTACAGAGTAGTGGATTACATAGAAAGTCTTCACATAATCCCAGAAGTAACTGCAAGACTACTTAGTGCTCTAAGAGGTTGTTAGGCTTGCACGAGGAGGCGATTTTTAAGCTGCGGTCTCTAGGACACTGGAGGTGAGGAGAACATTTAAGATGGAACCACTGGTGAGGAGGCCCTGTGGTAGGAGGAGCATGACATGTTTAGGAGCTAATGGGAGAAGGCCAGCATTGGCTAAGAACAGAGCAGCAGGAAGAACAGACATTCGCTGTTCATTGTGTGTGCCTCTTGGTTTACACAGGCAGTTGAAACACAAGTTTCCCCTCTAGAGCACTTCAGTATAGAAATACACATGGGGGTGGAATAAAGTGTTACAGACGCCCCTAGTAGACATCTGTATAGGTTTCTGAGGTGGGGTGGGTCATTGAAGAGGATAAGACATTGGCGATGGAGCTTGAAAATATCCTAAAATTCTTCTTCCTTTTCTTTTTTTTTTAAGTTGTCATTTGTGATGAAACTACTGGAGAGAAATGCGAAGTGTTCGGACGTTTCCCGCTGGTGGGCCCTTGGTGGCGAGTGAAGGTGCGCGTGACACCGGTGGGGAAGCGCTATCACACTCAAGGGTCCCCATCCTACTTCTTGCAGACTGATATGTCGCCACCAAATCAAAAACACATCTGCTCCCTGTTTCTTCAGGAGTGTCAGGCCCCCAGTGAGTTTACAACTCACTTTTTAAAATGGGTACAGGAAGTATCAAGCTATCAGGACCTAAATTTCGAAACTATTAGAGAAACATTAAGGACTTTTCACAAGGAAAGTGAAAGGAAACATAAAAAGAAAGCAGCACAGAATGAACAGGAAGAGCCTGTATCAGACTCCGAGACGAGTCTTCCGCTGGAGAGTACAAGTAAGTGTGGTTGCATCCTTTGGCTTTAGTGTAATTGAGTGGCTTATCACTCGAGGGCCGCATCTTCCTTTGGGTTTGTGAACGTGTTTGGAGTGTGTTGATCAGAGAGTAGCCTGGTGTGTATAGAATGTACTCCTGAATGCCATAGGAAACCACTGAATGAACATAAATGGGGGATTAACAGGATCAACTTTGTGATTTAGGAAGATCACCATTTTACATAACCCTCCTGTGTTGCTGAGCATGTCCACCGGAGAACAGACCGTGCTCCCAGTTGATCCTACACACATTCCTGAGACTGTCAAGCGACTCAACTATGGTTCTTTCAAGTGGCTCCTCCCCCCTCAGACAGAGACCGCATGCTTCACTTATGCCGTCCATTCCACAAAGCCACTGAAACTAATCTTGAACTTGTCAAGGGTTTCATTTTACTTTGACCAACAGTCAACAACTGAGTCAAGCCAAATGTATTGCATTGGGCAAACTGGCTGCAAAAGACCTCTTGAATGTGTTAAAAGGGACAGTGATGTCACTGTGAAGACGGTGGTGCTATCTGACCCAGGCCACAGAATTTTCAGTGACATCGTGTGCATGTGGTAGCTGGACAATGGATCAGAAAGACTGAAGAAGTGATGCCTTTGAAGTATGGTGTTGGTGAAGAATATAATACATCCCATGAGTTGCCAGGAGCCCAGGTGACATAGTGGGTTAAGCATTGGGCTGCTAACTACAAGGTCAGCAGTTTGAACTGCGAGGGAGAAAGATGAGACTCTCTGCTTCCATCAACACTTCACAACCTTCTAAATGCTAAGGAACAGGTCTCCTCTGTCCTATAGGCTTATTATGAGTCCGAACTGGCTCGCCAGCAGTGGATTTGGACAGAAGAGTAAACAAATCTGCCTTGGAAGATGTGCACCCAGGATGCTCCCTAGAAGGGAGGAGGATGAGACTGTCTTACAGAACTTGGGGCATGTCGTCGGAGGGAGCAGTCCCTGGAGCGAATACCAGGCTTGGTAAAGTAGAGGGCCAGCACAAAGGAGGAAGACCCTCCAGCGGGTGGAGTGACAGTGGCTGCAACAATGGGCCCAAACAGCAACAGTTAGGAGGATGGCGCAGGACGGGGCAGTGGTTTGTTCTGTTGTACATCAGGTAGCTGAGTGCTGGAACTGAACCGACAGCTCTGGTCATTGGGTTAGTTTGTGCTTAGTCATCGGGCTGCTAACTTCAAGGTCAGCAGTTTGAAACCACCTCTGCAGGAGAAAGTGAGACTTCCTACTCCTGTAAAGAGCTACAATCTTATAGCCCTACTGGGCTTGTGCCCTCGTGAAGAGATCACTGAACATATGGGTGTCATGGGAAAGTGTGGTGAAGAAACTAGTTGGTACCCGGCTATCAGAAAGAATGGTATCGGGGGTCTTAAAGACTTCTTAAAACAATCAGCCATCGACTCTCTCACACTCTCTCACTCACTCACTGACTCACCCTCTCACTCACTCTCTCACTCACTCACTCACTCTCTCACTCACTGACTCAATCTCTCTCTCTAATTCACTCACTCTCAATCACTGACTCACTCTCACTCACTCACTCTCACTGACTCATTCACTCACTCGCTCACTCACTTTCATTCACTGACTCAGTCTCTCACTCACTCACCACTCACTCTCTCACTCACTCACTCACTCACTCACTCTCTCACTCAATCTCATTCACTCACTCACTCACTCATTCACTCACTCTCTCTCACTCACTCAATCTCATTCACTCACTCACTCACTCACTCTCTCAATCACTCACTCACTCACTCAATCTCATTCACTCACTCACTCACTCACTCACGCACTCACTCTCTCACTCACTCTCTAATTCACTCACTCTCATTCACTGACTCTCTCACTGAATCACTCTTTCACTCACTCACTCTCTCACACTCACTCAATCTCTCTCTCTAATTCACTCACTCTCAATCACTGACTCACTCTCACTCACTCACTCTCACTGACTCATTCACTCACTCACTTTCATTCACTGACTCAGTCTCTCACTCACTCACCACTCACT